AGGAAGACCTGAGTTGAAATCCAGCCTTAGACACTTACTGTCTATGTGACTTTGGGCAGGGCATTTAATTTCTGGCTGCCTCAGCTTCCTCATTTGTAAAATGGGGATAATAATAGCACCTACCTCCCAGAGTTGTTGTGAAGGTCAAATGAGATAATACATATAAAGTTCTTTGTAAATCTTAATAAAGCACTTTATAAATGTAAATCATTATTATATAACCACATGCAAATTGCATCTCTGAGACTCAGTTTCCTCATCTGCAAATGTTGATAATACTACTCGTACTATCTACCTCATAGTGTTATTGTGAGCAAAATATTTTATAAAGTGTAAAGCACTATAGAAAATGATCAATGAATATCATTCAAACAGAGAATAGGCCTTCATGTACAAAAGAAGGCCATAATGTATAGCAGGAAGATCTCGCTGGACTTAAAGAACCCAGAAGACCCGGGTGATATCAGTGATATGATATAGTACAGGTCACTTCTTTCTGACCTTCAATTTCCCTATGATAAGAATTGCACTATGGAGTTCATAGGGTTATGCTGTGAAGAAATGGAGGCATGTGGAAATGTGGGGTAGCCACTCTTACAGTCTTCAGCAGAGAAATCAAAAGAACCTGAGTCCTGATTCTCCAGGTGTTATGCTAACTATCCCTTAGCTTTGCCCAACAAGTGGGACCTACATGTTGCTTGTGTAACTTGGCATTCTGAGGTGATTTATTACATGCTCAGAAATACTGATTGCACTGTGCAGGAGGCTATTAGATAAGGCAGCCTCTTGGCAGGATGGAGCTGTGTTATTTATATTTAAAAGACTCCCTTTAATTGGACATTATCCCATTGGAAAGTATTGGATTCCTTGAAAAAGGTGATGCTTGCAAATAAACAAGGTGATATACACACAGTCTCCAGAAACAAATGACTTTAAGAAACCACAAATGGATGCTGCCAAAAGCCAAGGCACTATTGATAGAGAATGAAAACCAGATATGTTTACATTATGTGACCTTCTGGCCAGGGCCAAGATGAAGGACTGATGAGCATGGGTGCACTTGTGGGCACAGTCACAAAACCATCGAATTTTAGAGCTAGGAAATACTTTCAAATGGGGATTCTTAACCTTTTTTTGTGTCTTGGACCCTTTCAGCAGTCTGGAGAAGCCTATGGACTCCTCAGAATGATATTTTTAAGTGTATGAAATTAACTACATAGGATGACAAAAGAAACCAATTATGTTGAAATAGTTATCAAAATATTAAAAACAAAAACAAAACTAAGCTCATGAGCCCCAGGTTAAGAAACTCTGCTTTAGAGCAAAGAAAGGTAAAGCTAGAAAGAGTCCTTAAGTGTGTAGAATGTCAGAGCTAGGAGAGATTTGATAACACAGATTGCTGGAGCTGGAAGAAACTTTCAAACAAGACCCAGAGCATTGTTGTCGTTTGGTAGTTTTAGTCACATCTGACTCTTCATGACCCCATGTGGGGTTTCCTCCGCAAAGATACTGGAGTGCTTTGCCATTTCCTTCTCCAGCTCATTTTATGGATGAGGAAACTAAGGCAAACAGGGTTAAGTGACTTGCCCAGGGTCACATAGCTGGTAAGTGTCTGAACGATGTATTTTAACTAAAGTCTTCCTGCCTCCAGGACCAGCACTCTATCCACTGCACCGCCTAGATGCTGACCTGACCTTAGAGGTCATCTAGCTTAAATGAAATAAGAAGTTTACAGAGAAGGAAACTGAGGCCCACAGAGGTTAAGTGACTTGGTGCTGGTCACAGAGCCAGTTAGTAGCAGATCGGAGACTAGAACCCAAGTATCCTCACTACCTTCTGAATGCTGTTTTAGTCATCTAGAAGCAGAGATTTCTCTGGATCAGTGGTGTCCAACTCAAACAGAAATTGTGACCACTGAAGTATGTTAAGGTTCTCTAGGGGTCACATATTTACTTAGAAAGCCACATATTAATATTAGCTATGCTTTACTGCATTTTTATTTATTTTGTTAAATATTTCCCATTTGCAATTTAATCTGCTTTGGGCCACATTTGGGAGTGTTGTGGGACACATGTGTCCCATGGGCCATATGTTTGATACCTTGTGTCTGGATGATGCCCTTTTTACAGTTGAGGAAACTGAGGCAAACAGAGATTAAGTGACTCACTCAGGGTCATACAGCTAGTAAGTGTCTGAGCCAGAATTTGAATTCAAGCCTTTTTGCATCAAATTCTAATACTCTATCCAATGTACCACCTAGCTTCCTCTGGACAACTTATGTTTTCAGAGAGGTGCCTGTGGGACAGAGAGGGTAAGTGATTTGTTCAGGGTCACACAACCAGTACGTATCAGAGAGAGGGCTTGAATCCAAGTTTTCTCAACTGGATGTTAGTTCTTCAGTGCTATACCATGCTACAGTGTTATAAATCACAAATTATATTATATTTACTTGTCTGCAGACATATTATATCCCCTCCCCAGTAGAATGGAAGCTCCTTGAAGGCAGGGGATTTTTTGTTTGTTTGCTTTTGCTTTGAATCCCCAGTACCTAATACTGGTTTACTCAATTGACTTGAATTATTGAGTAATGGTCTATTCTGGATTCTAAGTTTTTGTATGCAACATATTCTCTTTGACTAGGTTGAAAGGACTTTGAGAGGAGGGACTGCATCTTATTTTATTTTTTTAGGTTCTCCCAGAGTATAGCACAGTGCTCCAACTTCAAACCCATTTAATAAATTTTTCCTAAACAAATACCGTCGGGGGGGAAGGTGCTCCTGGCTATGATCAGAATACTTCTCTCACATCTATACTGACCATGTCACTGTGTATGTAGTAGTGGGATTCGTGACTGGTCTCTGCCCTTTCTTTTTAAGTTGTTGCCTACTTTTACAGATTGCCAATGCCATTTCATAAAATGTAAATTGTGCCAAATTCAGTCCAAGCATGGATAGTAGAGATAGGTGTCAGTTGTGCCAAGTGAATTTTTTGTAATATTAGGTATGAAATCAACATAAGCTCAGTAAGTAAGGAAGAGTAGTGATTTTACTAACCATCTTTTGATCTTAACCAACCACATTGTATGAAGGTTTTCAATTTTCAAAAGGAAGGAAATCCAAATGCAACATCTGCATCTGCTATATTAATGTCCCCAAATAAAAAACCATAGATAGCAGTCTTAGTCAAACGAGGGATGAAGGAGAGAAACATTGAGATCATCTGGTTAAAGCCTGTATCTTCATAAAGAAAAGGATGAAAACATCATTCTAGAGAAAAGAATTCAGGCTTCCCATTCATCTATCAGTGAAAGGAAATTAAGAGGACCTAGGTTAATTCCACCTTCATTTATTAAAGTATCTATTGAGTACCCACTATGTGCTATGATAGGGATATGAAAGAAATATAATAACTTTGTCTGCAGGAATTTAAAGCCTAATTGAAGGGATCAGGCATAAATGCAATATATCTAAAGGCCAATATGGGGAAATTATATTATATTGAATACAAACATGAGTGGCATAGACCTTAACCTAGGTTATATAAGAGTTCAGAAAAGGATGAGATCATGGTGGCTGGGAGTGATTGAAAAAACCCTAATAGAGGAGGGTGGATAACTAGGTAACTAGTAAATAGAACACAGAGCCTGGAGTCAAGAAGACCGGAGTTCAAATCTAGCCTCAGACACTTACTAGCTGTGTGACCCTGAGCAAGTCACTTAACCCTGTTTGCCTCAGTTTCCGCATCTGTAAAATGAACTGGCAAAGGAAATGGCCAACCAATACAGCATCTTTGCCAAGAAAACCTCAAATGGGGTCATGAAGATTTGGACGTGACTGAAACGACTGAACAACAATTGAGGAGGATGAGTGTACTTTTTTCTTACTTATTTCCTTCTGACTTTAAAGGCTCTGGGCCTTTTTGCTGAACAGTGAAAAGTCTTTTAAGACCTTCTGGACTGGACTGTTCTGTACTTAGGAACCTGAGCTCAGGTCAATGGGGTGAACTGCAGTCTCTGGTAACCCAGAAGCTTCCGCCTATTTTCATTCAATGGCCCCAGTGGCTGGGATGGAAAACGTGCCATCTACATGCCCTCACCCTGGCCTGGGTATAGCAAACCTGACTTCTCAATCCATCCGAATCCCAGTTTCCATATCTGGAAGGTGGGCAGAATTTCCCATACCTCTTCTTCCCATAAAGTCACATATAAGAACACTCTTAGCCTTTCAATTTCCTTTAAATTGTTCCATTGTCCCAGCTAGAGGGCACAGTGGATAGAGCATTAGATGTGGAGTCAGGAAAATCTGGGTTCAAATTCTGCCTCAGACAAATACCAGTTGTGTGACCCCGAGCCACTTAACCTCTATTTGCCTTAGTTTCCTCAGCTGTGAAATGAGAACAATAATAGTACCTCCCTCCCACGGTTGCTGTGAGGATGAAATGAGATCGTTTTGTAAAGCCCTTAGCACAGTGCCATACAGTAGGCACTTAATAAATGCTTGTTCCCTTCCCTTCCTCTTTCTTTTTCCCATCCCTAGGGTCAATCAGGTGATCCAGCCCGTGGTGAATTCAGGCCAGCTAAGTAGAGGTATAGGGCCACTTCCTGGCGTCTCTTACATTAAGTCAGGCCATTGCCTACTTGGCCAATGATTGACTGAACATTCCCCATACCCAGAGGTGGGGGGAAGGAGAGATGGGCCTTTTCCTGTATTTAGTCCCCAGTATGATAGCTTGGATACATTTCCAGAGTCCTTGACACCTAGCATTGTGCCTAGTGCCACCCATCCCCTTTAGTTATCTCCCATTATCTGGGTGTTTTTTTTTTTTTAACTCTTGCCTAGGACTGCTCTAGGAAGGTCTTCTGTTCATCAACTCCAGAAGGAGGAATGCTAGAGAATCTAGCTGTTCCTGTCCTTCAGGGTTTTAGAATCACAGAATCTCAGAGGTCCCTTGGTCCAATCCGTTCCTGAGCACGAGCCCCCTTTCCTTTCAGTTTTGCCTACCTGGGTTCCCTAAAGCCATGGAGTCATAGATGAGTTTGCAGGACTTAAGCAGGATGGCAATCTTTTTCTCAGGGGAGTAGGCCTTATGCATGCTGGTGAACTTTTGAAGGATCTTCTCCATGACAGACACTTCTGGCACACTGGTTGTCACACCCAGGTCCGTGGTGGTGGTGGCTAAGATGACTAACTGATTTCCCTTTAGGAGCTGGAGGGTGCCGTCCTTGCTGTGGATTTCCTGGAGGTGTGAATTAATGGCCTCCTTCAGGGGCTTCAGCACACATTTATATAACGCAGACTCCACAATGGCTTCTGCGAGCAAGGGAGACAAGGATTAAAACATAGAAACCGATTGAAAGGAAACATACCTCATAGGTCCCCTTCTTAACACTTGTCTAACGTGGGCATACATAGCCAGCTCTCCCCAACCCTTATCATTTCCAGTCCACATACCCTGCCCAATGCCTGTTGCCTGTGGTCCTCAGATTCTGTTATGTAAAATGAGGTGGAGCCAAAATAAGACGTTCACATACAGCCTGAAGTTGGCTGCTGGGCCTTGAGGAAGCAGCCCGTTGAAGCCCCTTCCTGCCTCATTTGAATGGATACTGTTCGCTTCTCAGCACTTAGTGAGGTCAGAGCATGTCAGAAGCATTAAAGTGGAGCCAAAGAGACCAGGCTTCTGGTACCTATGCTACTGTGAACTTGCTGGGTGACCTTGGGTAAATTGCTTCCCTTATCTCAGACTCATTTTTCTCAGGAGCAAAATGAGTTGACTGTATGAGACTAAGTTCTATTTCAAATCTAAAAACACTGTGATTCTACTCTCATAAATATTTGTCTTTATTGTCTCTGTGCTCCTATGTACTCACATACCATGCGACTAAGCACCCAATATACTATATATACTGCATCTTGTAATTAAAAAAAAAAATTCATGTGCCTTGCTTCTCCAAGTAAATTGTAAGCTCCCTGAGGACAGGGACTGTGTCTTGTCCTACACTTTGTATCTCTCACAGCACCTGCTGCAAAGTGGCTGTCAATAATACTTATTGACTGATTGATTCTCATCTGGGGCTAATGTACTATTTAAAAATGCATTCCAATGGAGCTTACTCAGTTGCCTTTCTGAGTTTAATGAACAGTTACACCTTCAACTCTGTGAAGAGAATATTACAATTTTCTTTCTTTACTTATTCTAGGCATTTTAGGTTTCTAACTGGTACAGGGGAAAGTGAAGAAGTCAGGAAGTTTGGGCTGTAGTCCTGGTTCTATCATAACTGGTAAGTGACCCAAAAGCTCATTCATCTGTAAAAAGAAGGAAACGGCATTTATTAAGTACCTACTATATGCCAGGCACTTTGCTAAATACTTTACAAATACCTCATTTGATCCTCATCACAACCTTGGGAGGTAAGTGCCCATTTTACAGTTGAGGAAACTGAGGCAGACAGAAGTTAAGTGATTTGCTCAGGTTACATGGTTAGCAAGTATCTGAGGCTGGATTTGAACTCAGGTCTTCTTCACTCTGGGCCTAATGCTCTATCTACTCTACCACCTAGCTGCCTCAAGAAAGAGGTAGACCTGAAATCCCTTCCAGCCTTAACATTCTATATTCTATGATTTTAAGGTCCCATCCACTGCTACCATTCTACTTCTAAGTTCAATTTAAACATTCTATGCTTTAGTGCTTAACATAATTTTCTAAGGTTCCTTCTAGCTCTGATAATCCCATATTTTATGTTCTAACAGTCTACATTCTAAGGTCCCTTCCAATGCTAACATTCTGTGTTCTACGGTTCTGACATTCTCTGTTCCAAGGCCCCCTTCTAGCTCTAACATTCTTTGTATATGGTCCCCTCCAGCTTTCAAACCCTAGAATTCTGGAATTGTGCTTCCCAACACATAGCCTCCCTTCTGGGCATCCCAGCCTAAGGAAAAGCCCACCTTCTTCCCTAGTCTCAAACCACATGGTAACAGTACCCAGAATAATCTTTCAGAATCATTTTATACTTTTCCAGGCTAGGGTTAAGACACCTGGGTTTTTTGAAGCATGGGTATGACATATAAGATGTTATTATCTCCTCCACCATTCACTACCCTTACAATAAACAGCCTTACTTACCACACTAAGGGAGTATCACACACAGACCTAACTAGGGGTGGTCTCATAAAAAAGACAGTCACTCATCTATGGGCATTATTTTGAGAGATGCTGGAAAGGTTCCTACTCAGACCTGGTTTGGGTGTCCATTACAGAAAGTCACCACATAAAACTTGGGTTTCCTACAGCCATACTGCTTTGATGGCTAAGGGCCAAAATCCTTCCTGGACAGACAGTAAGGTGTAATGGAAAAGCAGTGCTCATAGAATTAGAAGACAGGGTCTGGAATTGCAGCTCTATTATTTATTAGCCATAGATGATACCACCTCTCCCAGATCTTGTCCTGCCATGACCAAGGAGAAGGGTTCGGAATCCTACTGTTTTGGGCCAGGACCCAATCTCTTATTTATTGCCCCCAACCCTCCCCCCATCAATCAGATGTCTCTACTCAGCCCTGAAAGCTAGGTTTGGGCCTGATTTTTCCTTGGGCCAGGTGCTATCCCCATCATAAAAAGGGAGCATGCCACCACAGTTTTGTGTGTGTGTGTGTGTGTGTGTGTGTGTGTTTAAAGAGTGTTTCATACTTGCAGATTTTTTTTTTTTCAGAAAGAAGATTACTGTGAATTATGTCATGTTCGTCTGGATGTTTAAATTAAAGCAATTTTTAAAAGATCCTTTATTTACAAATCTGTAAAATGTAGTAGGATATAACTCCTACCTACTTCACTCAGTTATTCAATTCCATACCTCTTTGTCCGTCTGTCTCCCTTTCAGTGTCTTCCCTTCACTAGGGCCCTCTTCATCCTCAATCCACTGCCTATCTTATTTCAAATGTATTTGTGCTAGTAGATACTCCCAGATGAGTTACACACAGGCAGCACAAATATTCTATGAAAAGGCCTTCCTGGTACTCATAAGCCTAGGGACCTCTCAATGAGAGACGTCAAACTACCCCATGTCCCAGTCACCATGCATCCTCCTATGATGCATCATCCTCCCCCACTCTACCCCCCCCAAGTTAGGTACCTAATTATCTAGCTACTCTATACAGTGTTTTGCCTTAGTTCCTCTTTTTCTGAATTTTTCCTCATCAGCGGTCCTGGGTAACACAGCACAACTCATAGACTAACAGTTTTGTTTACTATAAATCTGAAACTGGTAAACACTTCTGCCTATGTTCTGACTGCCTCCCTACATCACCTACAATCACAGATAGATTCCTCAAAGAATCAGTCGATCCTTTAGTTAGCCCGTGACACCTATAATCTAGCACAAAATTCAGTTTCACAATTTTACCCAAGGGCTAAGATATGAATTGCTGTGGAAGCAGGGCTATGTAGCTCATATCATCAGCTCAAGAACCAATAGCTAAATTTTCACCATTAACATTTATACCTCAGAAATTTGCAGATGACATAAAACCAGGTCTTGATTTATTTTGCTAATTATCTAGACTTGAGAAAGTAATAGAGAAAATGTTTATAAGGTAGATTAAGTGACTTGCCCAGGGTCACACAGCTAGTAATCGTCTGAGACCAGATTTGAACACAGGTCCTCCTGCCTCTAAGAGTGCTACTCTATCTGCTGTGCCACCTCTGCAGATTAAATTTAAAAGTATTTTGTGCATTCATTTTTTCCTGAAAGAGCTGATTGTTAAGCATTGATCAGTTAAGCCAGGTGTCATCACTGGCTTTAGTGATATTAAGTGGTGGCTGGTGCTGGAATTAGGAGATAACTGGATTGAAATCCTAGCTCTGACACTTAATAGGAAAGTGCTTTGTAAACCTTAAAGCACTATGCAAAACTGAGGCAGCATCTGAGTCTGAAGTCCTGGATTCAAATCTTTGCTCAAATCTGGTTAATTATGGACAAATTTTTCAACCTCTTTCAATCTCAGTTTCCTCAATTATAAAAATAAGGGGTTTGGACTAGAAACCTTTCAAGTTCTTTCCAACTCGAAATCTAGGATGTTATTATCACTCACCTCACTTAACAAGTTGCAAGTTTCGCTTTTCAAAGGAATCTTCACATACCAAATGCGCCAGTTTGATACACAGAACTCCTCAGATGCTGCAGTTGGGACTAATTTCAGTAGTTCAGATACCCTGGGTTCCAATAGATAGGCAGGCAGGTGGTACAGCAGAAAGAGCATTGGACTTGAAATCAGGAAGACCTGAGTTCAAATTCAGGCCCAGACATTTTTTACTTGTGTGACTCTGGGCAAGTCACTTAACCTCTGCCTGCCTCAGTTTCCTTATCTGTAAAAGAGCAATAATAATAGCACCTGCTCTCCTAGGGTTGTTGTGAGGATCGAATGAGATAATATACATGGTATTTTATGAACATTAAAGTGCTTTATAAATGCCAGCTATTATTAATTACACACACAACACACATGTGTTATATGTGTACATATATGTACGTACGTGTTTATGTTTTTATAGGAAATGCACAATATGTTTATAATATATGTTCATGTGTGCATGGATGCACGTGCAATAACACACACACAATATACTATATACATGCATACATGTATGTGTATATGTGTATATACTTATAAATATGTACACATGTATGTATAATTCTATCATGTATATGTATGTATGTATGTATGGGCAGCGCCAGGCCTGGAGTCAGGAAGACTCATTTTCGTGAGTTCAAATTTGACCTCAAACACTTACTATCTATGTGACCCTGGACAAGTCACTTAACCCTGTATGCCTCAGTTCCTTTATCTGTAAAATGGACTGGAAAAGGAAATAGAAAATCACTCCAGTATTTCTGCTAAGAACACCTCAACTGGGGTCACAAAGAGTTGGACACAACTGAAAAACAACATGTATATGTGTATGTGTATGTGTATGTATATGTATACACATACACATACATATACACGGCAGCAGCAGCAGAAGAGAGAGAAGGGGCAGGAGGAGAGAGGGGAACAGTACACACACACACACACACAGAGTTGTTCCCTTCTCTCCTCCAGCCCCATGCCATCTCTGCTGCTGATGCCCCACTCTCTCTTAATGAACCCTCTCTCACTTCAGTTTCCCCACCCTGTCTCTCATTTGCTGAATCCTCTTTTAACCTGTCCCTCTTCCTTCCTCAGGACTTAGATGTTGACAACAACAACAGCAACAACGCTAATCCTGGCTTGGCCACTTACTAACTCTGTGACCTATGGCAAGGTCATTTGCCAGTCTGATCATTGCTTTCTTCAACAGCAAAACAAGGGTAATGATCTTTCCATCACCTCAATCAGAGAGTTGTGAGGAGAGCACTTTGTCAACCTTAATGTGCTACGGAAAGGTGAACTGCTGTCATTATTAGAGTCGGTGTTGAGGGCTGGGGCAGGAGAGCAGATAGAGCCAGCACCGCCACGTCCCATTCCCTAAGCCCCATGCATGCCCCACCAAAGACAGGCATTGGCAGGGTCTCCACTCCAGCTAAGCACTTACCGAGTTCCTCTTCGGAATGAAGGGTAAGGTCCACCAAAGACTTCAGCTCAGTGCTCTGCAGCAGGTAACTCTTCAGCTGGGTCATCATCATTCGGATTTCTTGGAGCATCTCTGTGCTGGAGCTCTGCTTCGCCATCATCTCCAAGCTGTACACTTTATAGTCCTGTACCAGGTTGCCGAAGTACGAGTCCTTGTCCTGCGCCAACTCCACCAGCTTTTTTTGCAGCTTACGGTTGCTGGAAAGGAAGGCATTGAAGACGTTGGAGAAATTCACAAAGGACAGGCGGTGTTTGGCTTTTCCCAACATCACGGAGGACTTCTTCTTCACACTGGGGCTGCTGAAGTGGTCCAGATCATCCTCTGCGCTGCTGGTCGAGTAGGAGTCCTGGTCTGGGGTGAGGACTGATGTCCCCAGGCTGTCAGCCAGTGAAGCCATGGAGCCTTTGAACTCCGAAGAACCCAAGGACTGGGGCGTGCCTTTGGCCTCCCACTGAGTCACCACATGAGGAGTGGGGCCTTCTTGGGCAGGGGTGCTGGTCATGGGGAGAGTTGAGGCGGGTTGTCCATGTAACTGTTCACCTGTGGGTTCAGGGCTCTCTGGCTGGCTGGGGAGGTAGGAAGCAAGCTGTCGGGAAATTCGCTTCTTCCTTGGGGGTGGGACGGGAGGTTGTTTACTCTTCTTCTGTTGCTCAGGGCCATTCCCCAGACCACTGACCTTGGCCAGTTCCCCCACCTGTAGGACTTGCTCCATAGCTCTTCTGGGAGCACCTGTTGCTTTTTGGATTGAAAGGCTGTTGGGAATGGTCTTGGGGTAACCCTGCTGCTCCCCTTGCCACCTCACTCCTTCAATCCCATCCCCCCCTTCAGTCTTCACCATACTGCTGTCTTCCAGTGAATTCCTCTCTGAGAGCCTCCTCCTAGGGGGAATAGCTGGCCGGGTGCTCTTTTTGGATGCCGCGAGGTGTGGGGATGAGTTGGGCACGACGGCCTCCTTTTTAATGTCTTCACTAATATGTTCTAGATTAACAGGAGGGGGCGGGACCTTCGCACAGGGAGTTACAGGCTGCTGGCCAGACTTTCCAGGAAGTCCTGCAGAAGGTGCAGACGATATAGCAACTGGAAGGCAGGGTGGAGGAACTGATGAAAGCGAAGATGCAGAAAGAGGGAGAGGGGCAGCAGCAGCAGCAGTGGAGACAGGGGGGGCAGGGGCAGAGAGGGAAGTAGCAGAGACAGTGGGGGCAGAGGGAGAGAGGGGAGTAGTAGCAGAGACAGGGGGGACAGGAGGAGAGAGAGGAGCAGCAGTAGAGACAGTGGGGGCAGAGGGAGAGAGGGGGACAGCAGCAGCAGCAGCAGGAGCAAAAGAAAGAGGCGGAGGAGGAAGAGGAGGAGGGGGTGGCCGCCTTCGAGGAGTTCTTATAGAAGCAGGTGAGGTAGCAACAGGGGGAACCAAAGTGGCTGGGCAGCTTTGAAGTAGGGGTTCTTCTGAAGGTAGTGAGCTGCTACAGTCCTCTATAAAAATAGGATTCACAAACCACAATCTGTCATTTCCTATTGACAACTCAATTTCACATGAGCAGTTTGCATAACGTGGTGAGGGTCTGAGGCTGGTGGCTAGGGGTGCAGCCGGAGCTGAGCCCTTTGGGAACTCCCCAGTGGTATCTCTCTTTCTCCGAGGATTGAGAGACGAGTCCCAGAAACCTGTATGAAGGAAGGGAAATGAGGAGAGATATTATAAGTTTCTGCTCCTAGTCATCTGGAGTGCTGAGGAAGCACTGAGGAAGCCTTATATAGAGGATGGGGCAGGAGAGGACAGTGGGAAAAGTTTATTTGACTTTTTTTCCCCTCTTTTTCACTGTTGTTCTTTCTAGATTTCACGGCACTTCCTGATTCTTAGGGGAATCGGAAGCAACTCACAAAACCCACAAACAGTCATTTGGTTGGGGTCGTGGGGTACTGAGGAGATGGGGAATCAATGATGAAGCTGGTGACACTAGTCCTGACTTTTCACTTACTAGCTGTGTGACTTACCCTCTCCAGGGTCATGTTTGAGGGATGATCTTTAAAGTTTCTCTGCAGATGGTGAGAAGAGCATAATTCTAATAGTCTAAGTTTTAACGTTCTTTGTTCTAAGGTCCTTTCCTCCTTTACCATAGTATGTTAGACACCATGTATCCATCAAAAGAGTATGACTTTACTAATTCTGTTTTCTTTGAAAAATAGACTTTAAAATCCGAAACAACAACCTACAATCAATCCCTATTAATGAAAATAGCTATGTACAAACAGTGTTTGAACTTCTGGTTATATTTGCAAACTTATGTTTGTAAGTAGTAAAGAAGGAGCAGAGAGGAGAGAGAGAGAAAGAGACAGAGACAGAATGGGAGAGAGAGTCAGAGAGAGAGAATGAGAGATATAGAGTTTGCATATGACATGGTCCCTGACCTCATGGAACTAATTCAGGGAGACCTATACACAGATATCTATAATGTATAATATTACATGATGAATGCATTAGAGAGGGATAAACCAAAATACTCTTTTTCAGAGAATTTTTTTTTATTAAAGTACTTTTACTGATAACCTTTTTTCCCTTGGCAAGAAACTAGAATAATAATTTACAATCCTGAATGCAGAGAGAGCATTTTCTTTCAAGAATCTCAGACCATTGACTATATATCTTAGTTTTATTCTCAACAGCTTTGTGTGATAAGGGGTAGGTAGATATAACCTCACTTTGCATACAAAAGGCAAGAAATCAGTAAAAAAAGACAGTATTGGAGCTAGATGTCTTAATCTTGTGTTCTGGCTCAGGTCACTTACTAGTCAAGTGATCTGGGGCAACCCACTTCACCTTGCTGGACCTCAGTTTCCAAATCAGTAACTGGAGATAATACCCATAGTACCTATCTCAAAGCGTTGTTATGAGACTCAAATATACTGTGTGCAAAATACTCTGTAAACATAAATTACTGAACATCAATTATTATCTATAACAATTACAACCATTTATAAAATATTAAGAATAATAATAACAATAAAGATAATAATGATAGAGTTGCCCAAGGTTACATAGTCATTCAATAATAGAACCTGACTGTGAACCTTCAATGCTGAGTGCTTCCTCCACTAGACTAATAATTACTTATAATAATGTTCCTGGAAGCTCCCAAGATGACGATAATTATCTTTGGAGCTAGGGAGATCAGGGCAGTGGTAGGGCTGAGAGAGATCCCTGAATGGTCTTGGGAAGAGACTCACTGATCAAATACTTTGTTGACATGGATCCTATAGCCTTGTTGGGGAGTCAGGGCCAACAGACCCCACTCTTGTGATTCCTAATCTTCAATAAAATCTGGGGGAAATTGGAGGATGTTCTCATTCCTAACATTCTTTCTTAGGGAAAATTCCCTCATACTAAGGTATTAGCAACTTGGTGTATTATCCTTCTCTGGAAAACATTTTAAAATATCACCTACAAAGAGTTAGGATTTGTTCACCTCAAAGGAGTGACTCCCTAATGGTAGAAATTTAGGCATTTGCAGGGCAAATATTTTTAGAAAAGAAGGCCTTCCTGAAACTGCCTATGTAGAATTGCAGAGGTGGAAGGGATCTCATAAGTCATTTAGTCTGACCCATACCTGATCCTGGAATCCCTATACAACATCCCCCAACAAAATATTCACTTAGCCACTAATTTGAATACTTCAAATGATGAGGAACACATCCTTCCCCAATGCATCCAATTCCATTTTCAGACTGTTCTAATCATTAGACAGTTTTTCCTTATATTGAATTGAAATCTGCCTCCTAATAATTTCCATTTGGTGCTCCTAGTTCAGTCCTGGGGGGCGGGAGGGGGGAACAAACAGAAGAAATCTGATTTCTCTTTCACATGACACTTTTAATAAAAACAAAACAAAACAAACCCCCCTCCGCCCCCTCCCCCCCACACCAGCTCTTCTACGGGACAAACATCAGTTGCCAAAGTTAATGTAGGGCAGCCAGGGCTTAGACTCAGGGTGCTGACATCAGACGTGTCTCCAGGTCTTATGGTACTCTGCCAGCCCTTACCTTCGGCATGACCCAGGTCCCTTATCCAGCCCCAGACTAGCAGCGTTTCCTAGCACCAACCTTTGGTTTAATCCCCTACTGGTACATACACCAGACTCTTGGGGGAAAAAGAAATGCCACCCCTTCACCTGGAAAAACTACACCCTTACATCACATTCACCATAAGCTGTTTTTGCCCCAAGTGGAAGAATTCCTAGCTACAGCTCTGCCAAAGATTCTCACCTCCTTCAACCATCCTTTATACGTTATAGTTTATAGTTCCCTAACCATCCTGGTCGCTAGATATATACCAGTTTTGTAAATGTTTTTCTTTTCTAAAATGTGGTACCCAATGGGCAGCTAGGTGGCCCAGTGGCTAGAGCAACAGCCCTGGAGTCAGGAGGACCTGAATTCAAATCTGTCCTCACACACTTATTAGCTGTGTGACCCTGGGCAAGTCATTTAACCCCAAATGCCTCCTCCCAAAAAAATAAATGTGGTGCCCAGTATTAGATACAATATTCTATTTGTAGTCTGACCAAGAATGATTATTGTTTTTATTCTACACTTTATCCCCCTACTGAGCTTGAGATTGCAATAGTTTTGTTTTGGTCATCACAATACACTACTGCTTCATGTTCATTAGACTGAGATCTGGAGGGTGCCTTAGAGGCCATCTGGCCCAATCCCCTCATTTTATAGATGAGAGAGGTTCAGTGACTTGCCTGGGGTCACACAGCTAGTAACTGGGGCTGAACTTGAACTCAGGTCTTCCTAATTCCAAAACCAACACTGTATCCTCTATACCAGAGATGTTAAAGGAAGCTGCAAATGATTCCCAAAATATCTGAGTGAGGCAAGAACCAGATTAAAATGTAATTGGGAAATGTTTAACAGAACAAAGTACATTACAACATACATGATGTCAATTTGTGGTTTTTTAAGTCAATATGCAGCAGCCACAGGGACCAGTTTCTTTTTGAGTTTGACACCATTGCACTTTACCACCTACCTATTTATTGAACAATAAAGGATATCCCAAACTTCTTAGTGTAGTTTTAAGCTATTAAAGCTAAAAACTGCACTATGATTTTGTGACACTGTATTGAGCTTATTTAGTCGTTTTAGGCATGCCTGACTCTTCGAGACCCCATTTGAGTTTTGTTTTGGTTTTTGGGTTTTTTTTTTTGTTGTTGTTTGGCAAAGATACTGGAGTGGTTTGCTATTACCTTCTCCAGCTCATTTTACAGATGAGGAAACCGAGGCAAATAGGGTTAAATGACTTGCCCAGGGTCACACAGCTAGTAAAAGCATCTGAGGCTGAATCTGAACTTGGGTCTTCCTGACTTCAGGTCCAGCACTCTATTCACGGAGCCACTGAGTATTTAGCTTGCAATCCCCTAAAACCTCCATGTCTTCTTCACAGGGAACTTTTCCAACTATATTTCACACATCCTATACCTGTAATATCGATTTACATTTATCCCTAATGAATTATATCTTATTAGTTTCTACATTTCCACCTGTCAGAATTTTGTGGGGTGGGGAGAGGGTAATCATTCAACCATTCTCTGCATTAGCTATGTATCCATTTCAAATTACCCACAAATTTGAGGAGACCTTTTGCCTGGCACATAGTAGGCACTTAATAAGTGTTTATTGATTGATCTTTGTCTTCAGTAAAGTCAAGAGTAAATATGTTGAATGAAACACAGACAAGGACTGAGCCCTATAGAGCCACAATACTCTATATAAGGAGACCTGGAAAGAGCCAGGTTCTTAATGTTGGTGAATAGGAACCAGATGGGCTTAGCTGAAATTCAGTGAACTTCTGGAAGAACTCTAAGGATTTAAGAATGCCGTGTGCCTTCCCACCTCATCTCCAAGACCAATGACTTATCAGTGAGGTCAAACGGAACAGCAACTCTTAAATCCCTCACAATTTTTCATGGTAGTTGTTTTCTATTTCAGCTTTTTTGGAAAAAGGATGTCTACAACGCGCAATTCTATGACTTCCTCTTTATTTCCCATCAGCTCCTCTTCTCTGTTTTGACTCTGGGGTATCATGCCTTCCTCAGGATAAGCTCATTACCAGAAATACCATCACCATGGATATTGCTTCAGCTTAAACACTTAAAACCTCTTCATGATCTTCAGTTGTCCCTCTGATCTGAGGGCTGGAGGGCAAAGCAAAACACTCCCAAAGTCTCTTTTATAGAGGGCTCAGAATTTCAGACCAGCTGTTCTGCTTGGTTTCAATTCTGTGTAAACCATGCCTTTGCTCCACATATCCTCTGTTGGTGACCCTCCCCCCACCTCCAGCTTTTCAGTTTTCTTTTGTCTTCATTCATTAGATTGTAAGCTTCTTAAAGGCAGGAAGCGTCTTTCTTCTTATTTTTAATCCCAGTACTTAGCACAGTGCCTGGCACATCACCACCACCACCACCACCATCATCATCACCATCATCACTAAGATTTATACAGTGTTTACTGTTTTTAGTGTGTTTCCCACTGTGCTAAGCGCTTTACAATTGTTAGTGCTTAATAAATGTTTATCGATTAATAAACGTTTATTAAGTTCCCCTCACCCCTTACTTTCATTTGAATCTAGTGACTGTATAAACGCTGGTGCCGATTTTAATCTAAGG